GATTTTAATAATAATAATAATACTAATAATAATAATAACAATAATAACAATAATAGTAGTTAATAATAATAATAAATAATAATAATCGTTTTATAGATATTTTTAGCCAATTTTTGCAGAATTTTTTTCAGTTCAGTTAATGCTACTGGCAAATTTAATGAAGTAAGTAATTTTTTGCTAAGCACAGGCAAATTCATTGGCCAAGTCATCCAGTTGTTCTATTGATGTGTTGATTTATCGGTATATAATCGTCAAACTGTCGTCCAAACACCAAATTAGCGATTCGTATTCAAGAGGTATGTTCAGTTTTTCACAAAAGTATGAACTTTATTGATTATAAGCTTTTTGAAGTAAATCTAGAGATTAATCATCTGCAGTTAAATCATTGGCTGAATTCCAATTTTTTACAATCTAGCCAAAAGATTATGGTGATATGGAGGCAAAAACGATAAAGATCAATCCATCTATGAAGCCTTTAAAATTTTACTATTCAGCAAATTAGAGAATAGAATCTTTGGATCCATGAAAATAAAGATTATCGCTATTTTACAAAGTTTAAAGTTTTTAGTCGATTTATTTTCAAGGATTTTTATGAGTTTTTGCTTTTCGAGAAGGCATTTCATAAAATAAATTTCTTATTTTTATTATTTTGAATGAAATTTTATTTTTAGAAAATATTTAGAAAATCTTTCACTTCTCGCTAAATCGACTTTATTTTGCATTTTATTAAACTCATCTTTTATTTCTCGAAATGAAATTTGATTTAACTTAACTAAACATTTGAAATGATAACCGCGGAATTTCTTATTTTTAGTGAGAAATTTTGAAGACCAAATCAATGACGCCAATGATTTAAGTGCAGCGATAACTCCATCGTCGTCATCTAGAACCGCTCATATAAACAGTTCTTCAATTGGCTCATTTTTTCGTGGAACAAAAGGACATTTATCGAATTTTTTGGAAAGTGTTACACAGGTTTTTTTCTTCCTTTTAACTTTTAAATCGCATTTTCTCATGAATCTTACGAGGAGTATTTAAAAGAGCTCACAACTAAGCTGAACTGCGGGGTGCTTGAGTACATATTCTCTGCTGAGCATAATTAATATTGCTTCCATTTCTTTCCCTTCCATGGTTGAAATAAAACTTTCATTGAAAATGATATCTGTGCTGCTGTTCACGGCCCACCTCTGACTTTATCCCAGAGTGACTCTGTGATGAAGGAATTTCGCTTGGCTATCACTGGAGCCAACCAAACTAAGCATGAAGTTCCCTTTTTTCTTCCTTCCAATTTTTTTCTTTTTGCTGAAATATTAAGCAGGCTGGTTTCACTACCAAAAAAAGTGAGGCGTTTCTCGATTGAATTTCCAGGCTTGTTGTATTGGAAGAACTCTTGTTTCCACTATCTAAGACTATTTGTAGCATTAGCTAGGATGCCTATGCATTTCGAATCTATCATGATCACATTTATCCAGATCTTGTTGTGAGAAAGATTAGTTTCGAAATTATTTTGGTAAAGTGGAATAAAAATTCTTATGAAATTTTTTTGCCACTTAAATATGGCGCATATGTTTGCCTTTCTTTTTTTGATGATGGCACAATTTCAGTAGAAATATAAAAATTTTAATTTAGGGGAATTAAATCCCAAGCGGTCTCATAATCCATTTTATTTTCATCAACACTTTTATTCAATAAAAATCAAAAAAAGAAGAAAAATACGTATCGCTGAAAACTGGAAATTTTATTGAAAATACTCGATTTTAATAATTTTTATTTTTCTATTTCTGAAGTTATAAGAATTACATAATAATAAAATTTAATTTTTATAACTTCGGAAATAGAAAAAACAATGTATTAATTGCGTTAAACTTGGTTTAGCAGTAATCTACTGAATGCTTTTTTTGGCCAACCTAAATCAACCAAAATTTTTCTCGTTCCCTTCCTTCTAAATTATCAATTGACAATTTCATGGAAAAAATTCGACGATTGGTTTTGAAAATTTTAAATAAATTAATATAAATTGGTTCTTATTTCGACTTCCTTATTTCTGCCTTTTTATTAATTTATTTAAAAAGTAAAGATTCCTTGCTTAATTTCATCGGTATTCATCATTACTAAATTCGTTGAACTAGTAATATGAAGGAAATACGATGAGGCTTTAAGTTCATTTGCACATAAGATTTATCGAAACAAAAAATCAAATTTTCTTATGCTATTATGTTATGCTGAAGAAATGAGGCAAATTATGATTGCTAGTATTAAAGTCGATTTCAAAATTTCCGGGATACCGAACAGTCAGATAGAATGCATATATGAGTTGAACTGAACCCGAGGCTTGCTTGGTTCATTAGGCAGCAATATCCCATTTCAGATGATGCTGAACTCCCATCTGTACTTCTCCAAATGGCTCTCTGGTGAAAAGGACTCATCTTGACAGCGATTGCTGTGGAATAAAACAGCACATTTGGGGCAATAATATTCTTAGGATCCAAGTTTCACTTTTACCGTAGTCTCATTGGTACAATTATTGTTCATCTCACCTGAAGCTTTTTGTTTAATAATTTCGTTTAACGATGTAAATTAAAATTTTTAGAATATTATAACAAAAATTTTCTTAAATTTTTCAGAGACAAATTAAAGGAAATGGAATTGTCTCATAAAATTTTCATTTAGGCAATTGATTATAGAAAAAAAACTTTTCGTCATAATTTCTATTTTTTTAAAATTTATTCATTTTTTATTTTTTCGATAAATTTATTCATTAAAAAAACTTCAAAACAAACACTTATTTAAGACATAAAAAATCATTTGAATTCATTGATAATTATTGTACATCGTTCTTAATTATTACAAAACTGATTAATTTTAGCACAGAATTTTTAGTACCATAGGAGAAAAAGAAAAGCTAGCATCAGGGTCATAGGTCATCCTTATTTGTTAATTTTTTCGAATTCTGTTCGGACAAACATTCCTTTTTTCATAATTCCTATGCTTCTCTTCTTTCTTTTCCTCCCTTCCTTTTTCCTGTCCCTTTTCCTTCCTTTTCAACGCTCTTTTCCAAATGGAATGAGCCCTAAAATGAACCGCACGCAGCCATCAATGTATTTTTTCTCGTTCTCATTGGAAATGGAGTCAATCAATTAAAAGAAAAATGGATGACCATGTATATATATATATATATATATATATATAACTTATATTGCATAACTAATTATTGACTCCAGCGAGTGGTTTCATTCTGAATTCAGATTTTTCTGGATTTTCCCCGGGTCGATCCGTTTTTAAAATTTCTTTAAAGATTGGCCAAACGAAGAGCGTTTTCCATTTCATCCTTTTTCTCTTCTTTTTTTCCTATTTATAATGTATAAATTCTTTCTTAAGGAAATCGCTTTCTCTGATTTTTGCTTACTTTCTGAAAACTACTCGCATCGCCTTTCTGCTTTCGTTCCTTTCAAGAAATATTGTAACGATTATTGCTCCTTAGAGATTTATTCAGTACTACCCATATCGATATTCTAATACCCTCTTTTCCTTATTTTCGCTTTTCATATAACCTGGAGCTTCACCAAAGTTTTCTGCTAGGGACCGTCCCCTCTGGACCGGGGCCGCGAAAACCTCCATGCAATGCCCCTACTAAAATGCAGCGCACTTACTTTTATATTAGATGGCATTACGTTGGAACAAGTTTCTGTATTAGCCGAGTGGTTTATTGGCTAATTTTTGAGAGGCGAAGTGGTGAGAGGGGAGTTAAAAAAAAATTTTGAAAGCTAATTTCAGTTTCGATTTCGGTTTTTCTCGGATTTTTTAGGTTAAAAATTTTTCTTTTGTGCTTTGCGCGTTTGAAAAATATTTTTATAAGTTTTTTACAAGAAAGAATTTTCGCTTTTTGCGAAATTTATTTCGTTTCTTTGTTTTCAATTATTATTTGCTTAAGCATATTTTTTTTACAAAGCCTATTTACTTTTTATTTTGCTTTGTATTGATTTGAGTCCGTTTTGTCAAATTTCCATTGATAATTCCAAGGAAAGATTGGTACTTTTGCCGCTCTTTTTGACTTCGCTTTGCAACTTGAAACAACTTTGGTTCTCAGTTTTCCGTCCAAGTTCTGCGCAAATTTCTGCCACATTTTTTTCGCTTTTTGTTTTCATGAAGTTAATTTTTCATGAAATATATTCTTCTTCTTCTAAATCGTCGACAGTAATAGAAGCCATTCGTTTTCCATCGTCTAAGTCCATATATTGCTGGTCCACCTATACACCGTATCAGTCCAGGTCTTGATTGGCTCACCTCGCTTTTGACACCATCCATCACACGGTTTAACGAAATATCTGTTAATTCTTGTAGTGGACGATGGAGAACGCGTCCTAAGGCGACGAAGGCGACGTTCTGTGATAACATAATTAATGCAAATGGTATTTTGTACGAAGGTGGATACGACCATGTGAGATTTTATCCGCTCGACAGACCCGTAAAATATACCTTAGAATGGTCAAAGGTAGATAGCTTCTTAATATCTTCCACTGTCATTGGCCATGTCTCGTAGCCATATAGCCATATAGTAAGATCGAATGAATCGCGGCTATATAGACCCGGACTTTAGTTTTTATGGTGATCCCGCGATGGCTGCATAAAGGTCTCGTTAACCAGAAGAACGTATTTTTAGCTACCGTTGTCCTAATTTCATCTTTCGCCTGACCTTTTAGGATTAAAGTGAATCCAAGGTATTTAAAATCTGGCACTTCTTCAACCATTAATAAATACTTTATAAAAAGAGGTATTTTATCAGTTTCTTATATGAAGACTTTCGTTTTATTTACACTGGCCCTGAGTCCGATTCTCGTTTCAGCTGTTGACAGGTTGTTTAGCATTACATAAATTTCATCATTAACTATCAACAAAAAAGATATCATCAGCATTCAAGATGTTTATGAACATGTAATATGAAATGTATTGTCGGTGCGTAACCGATTTTAATTTCTATATTCTAGTTTTAATATTTTCAGTGGATAGTTTCAACAAGTGCTGGAAGGGACCAAGAATCAGAGGTCATTTCACTTGATAGCTGTAAGGGTACATTCGATACAGCTCAGAAAAAGTATTCGTTTTTTGAATTCGTTTTCCAGGAGATTAATTTGTTTTTATAATTTTATTGTTAATATTTTGGTCAGTATTAATAATAGAATAATATTTAATAGAATAATAATAGAAGTAATATTTAATAGTTATACAATAGTAATTAATTGAATAAGGCAATAATATTGTGACCATAAGTTCAGCACAACTATATCCATGGCATCGACGTCAGCTGCATCGGAATTTCATTGTATCGATATTAATGATACTCATCTTTGTGTTTTAAATCGCTATGAAAACTTAAGGATTATAGGTTCGGGCGCTCAAGGTGTTGTCTGGTATGAAATTTTCCATTTCATTTATCAAGAAATGCAAATCTTACTTCACTAATTCCAATATTTCTTTGATCGTAAAATTTTAGTGCAGCACACGATAAATTGCGAGATGAGCAAGTGGCGATCAAAAAGCTTAGTCGGCCTTTTCAAAATGTTACACATGCTAAACGTGCCTACAGAGAATTCAAATTAATGAATCTGGTGCACCATAAAAATGTTTGCTTTGTTTTTATTTTTTTATATGCGTTTAATGTAATTTAATATTTATTAATAGGTTTATAAGGTTTTCATCTTTATGAATAAAATCAATAAAATGTTTCAAGTTCATTTTAGGTTATTTTTTCACATTTACTATTTTTTTTTCTATATTTCTTATATTTTTTTTCTTATACTGTTTTTTTAGATTATCGGTTTATTGAATGCTTTTACTCCACAAAAAACTTTGGATGAATTTTCTGATTTGTATATTGTGATGGAATTGATGGATGCAAATTTATGTCAAGTAATACAAATGGATTTGGATCACGAACGAATATCTTATCTTTTATATCAGATGCTTTGTGGTATTAGGCATTTACACGCAGCGGGTATTATCCATCGTGTAAGCTCTTTAAAATTAATTTTTTAATCTATTGTCGTCATTATTCATTTTTAACTTAATTCTTATGCATCTTTTTTTATTTATTTATTACTAAAATCTTAATAATAATATTAATCGCAACTCTTTTATTTTATTTTTGGAAAAATTCAGTAATTTGTTAGTAATATAAATTCAGTAATAATAAAAGTAGAAATTTGTTATCAAAACTAAATAGGCTTAAGGAGATCTGCTTCCACGTCAATAAATAAAATTTTTTAGTACCATTGATCAGAGGAAAAGAAAATACTTATTTTTTAAAATTTCCACTAATTTATAAATTCATTCGGAAAGAAAATTATTTGAAAAGAGTTGCCTTAATTTTATTCGAAAGATTTGAATAGTTCAGTACTTTTACTACTTTTTCTAAAATTTTCTTCTCATTCCAGTATTTTTCAAATTATTTCAGGATCTCAAGCCTAGCAATATTGTAGTTAAAAGTGATTGTAGCTTGAAGATTCTTGATTTTGGCCTGGCGAGGAGTGCTGGAGATTCATTTATGATGACGCCTTACGTTGTGACTAGGTACTATCGTGCGCCTGAAGTAATTCTGGGTATGGGATATAAAGAGAATGGTAATTTTTTATTTTTTTCCAGTTTCATTTCATTTGTACTTTTTTAACACTTTTTTAATTTTATAGATATTTTTAAAAAATTATTGTTTTTTCAAATGATCGATAGAAGCATGTTCATTTGGAACCATTTTTTGATTTTATCTTTTTGCTATATACTTTTCTTCGCTTTAATTTGCGTCGCGTCTAATCAAAAGATTTTGCGCTCGCATATTTTGGCAAATATTTTTCAGCAGTTTTTCGAAATTAAATTTTGTAGAATCCTAGCCATTCATTTGACTTATTTTACTTGAGTTCGAAATTCATTTTTATTGAAAGTTAAATTTTATTCATATCATTTTAAGCAAAATTTTTTTAATATATATTTTATCACCATTTATCGCCTTTTTTTCCAAACTGAAACATTGAAAATCTAAAAAATCTAAAAATTAGGAATTTCTTTTTCATAGAAATTTTTGATTGCACATCTTTTAACACTTATGCTTAATTTGTTTTGCAACATTAACATTGGAAATTGGAAATTTATTTTATAAATTTAACAACAAATAACAATCAATGAACCGACAAAATGCTTTGCTTGAATAAATTACGCTTGCTTTGATTTTTGCTGCTTGCGCTTACAGTTGATATTTGGTCTTTGGGATGTATTCTTGGTGAAATGGTTCGTGGAAATGTTTTATATCCGGGAAGTGATCACATTGATCAATGGACGAAAATAGTGGAGCAACTAGGAACACCATCACCCGAATTTATGCAACGACTTCAGCCAACTGTGCGAAATTATATCGAAAATCGACCTCATTTTCGTGGCTTCTCATTTGAAAAGCTTTTTCCAGATGTACTATTTCCTGTCTCTAGTTCGGATCCGAGATTAACCGGTATGATGTTTTATTAAATTTTCTTTAAATTTTTAGTTGATATATGGTCGATTGGCTGTATATTTGGTGAATTGATTCGTGGTAGAGTACTCTTCCCAGGCACAGATCATATTGATCAGTGGTCGAAAATAACCGAACAGTTAGGAACACCAGGGCGTGAATTTATGCAAAGACTACAGCCAACTGTGAAAAGTTATGTGGAGAATCGACCTCGACATTCTGGATTTCCCTTCGAAACTCTTTTTAGTGATGATATGTTTCCAAGTCCTGCGAATAATAATAATCTTCGACGTAAGTCCACCGTGGTGGAACAGTTTTACTAAATACTGATTTTTTCATCAATTTCTTATTGCTTTTGATTGTTGTTGCAATACATAAGTTTACTTGATAAAAGGTAGAAAATATCCGAAATATGCAGGTCAGCTGGTGTCTATAAGCAAAGTACTCTTTAAAAAAACTTTAAATTTTTTAGAAATTTTAGAAATTTGATATGGAAGCTAGGGATCATAAACTTTCAGCTTCTCAGGCCCGAGATTTGCTTTCTAAAATGTTGGTAATCGATCCGGAAAAGAGAATATCCGTGGATGATGCCTTAAAACATCCATACGTCAATGTATGGTTCGATGAAGCCGAGGTATATGCTCCTCCTCCAGAACAGTATAACCATAGTATTGATTCCAAAGAACATACTGTAGAGCAGTGGAAGGGTGAGTTTATGTTTCTGTGGAGTAATTCATTTAACTTTTGTATTTGCGTCTTTAATTTAAAATTTTTCACGATTTCAGAGTTGATATTCAAAGAGATTATGCTATACGAAAAAACGCATGATATATATGGAGTAAAAAAAATGTACAATTCTGAAATATCTACGCAAATCGATTCAGTTGCGGACTCGACATTAGGTAGTACCAGAGTAACGAATGGTCTATGAAGACTACAGTGAGCATGTAACATATATCAATAAATTTGGATATGTGGGTGTCGAAAATGCCTTTATGGCAATATTATTTAACATTTTGAAAATTGTTAGTTTATGAGCACCATTTCACTACAAAAAAATAAAAATTAAAAAAGGTTTCTGTTTCTTTTCTCAGTGGAATTTCAACTTTTCAAGTATAAATTACTAAAACGATCTCAGGAGATTTTTAGATTTATGGAAAATTCATAAGAGCTATGTTTTGCAATCGATAATACATATGCATCTCCATACTTCACCTTATTGCTCAGTATTTCTCTAGCCTCAGTTTTTATCAAAATGAATAGGTTTTAACTCATATTTTGGCTTTTTACATTATATTTAACGTTGATTTGAATTGAATTATTCTCTTTATTACGCACATTTCTTTGTCAATATTTTAACATTATGAATAAAATTAATATTTAAAAATGCCTAAAAAACAATATGATTATATAATTTGAAACTTTCATGCATTCTTTACAGACTGTATTCCTATTCGAGTTTATATTCGAATATTCCTATATTCTAATGGTAGCAAAATTAATTGATTCCTATAATAAACAGAAAATAGAAAAAAATTTCTAGAAACAAAAGAAAGACTGTAATTACATAGTAATAAATAGACTGTAATTACATAGATTTCATAATCAAGAACTTAGCCCATTCTTTTGAAACCATACCCATAAATCTAGTATATAATATAAAAATAAAAACAATTTATTAAAGAAAATCAGCAGCAGAGCTTCCAAAGGATTTGGCTCTACCACGTCACATAAAAACTTCAATAAATTGCTACATAGAACATCCGATTTGCCATTAAAGAATCCCATCATAAAATAATAAACAACGAAAGCATAGTCGGAGTCCCAAATTGTCCAGTGATAGTTGCACTGGACCTTCTTTAACCTCATCCTCCACCACCACTCATCGGAGGGCAGCTCATTTCGCTATGGCGGCCCAGTTGTCCGAAATTACGACGAGGCCGACCACCCCCACCTGGAAATTGCGATTATTTCAAAATTTTCGTCAGATTTAAGATGTGCAGTGCAAGAAATTTCCACCATAAATAAAAATATACCTCTTGGAGGTCCACCAGGGCCCGGCCATCCATTATTTCCACTTTGTCGGCCAGCAGAATTAGTTTCAGAAAAAAAAGGTCCAAACAAAGTGTAAAAACTGAAAATGAAAAAAAAAAATCCTAATAATAGTATGAGAATTCTCATACTACCAAAATTTCATATTTTTGGACAACTAAAAATTCCGAAAAGCAATAAAAGTTTATAATTAACTATAAAAAAAGAGATTCGATTTAAAAACACTTACAAACATTGTAGAAAAAATAACAATTGCCAAAAAAAATTGGAAACTAAAGAATTACTGTCGGTGATACTTCCGTCTAAAAATTGTTTTTTAGAGATTTCATTAAAATTAGAAAACAATAAAATAATTTCTTGACAATTATTCCATTTTACGAAATAATTTATTAATTTATTATTAATTTCTTGACAAACGAAATTATTTGTTATTTGGAGACGTTTTTTTCGCAAACTTAATTTATTCCTATAAAATTCCGACCAAAATAAATGAATTTCGCTTAATGATTGAATAATTTCAGTGAAAAGAATTTAGTCAGATGCTTGGGAATTATTAAATTATGGATAATTTTTTAAAACTAAAATTGTAGCAATGACAATTTTTCGAAGTAACTGCCTTGAAAAAAATTACGTAATGGAAGATGTTACAAAAATAAAAAATATTGAAAATAAAGAAATTTAGAAAGATTTACAAAAAACTGAAAATTAAATTCAAATAAAAAATTGTTCGATGGTGAAAGAAACCTGAGTTAATATAAGGCATAGAAGAAATAGAAGTCAACCAAATGCACCGGAACAACCTGAAATGCAAATTTATTAAAGATTTTAAGCCAGCAGCTCTTTGGAAAGGAGAATGAATAGTGGTTATACGGCAAGCACTCCTTACTAACTATAAAAGTAACACAGCCAGCAGACCTCAAGCTTAAAGCTTAGGCCCTAGACTTATAGCTTAGAATTTGGCTTAGGCTTAGGCCTAGTTGTTTCCAACATTGCAATACTCATTTCAGCGTAGACCAAGCAACCATTCAAAACCTTATTCGACTCATACAACGGATATAAAAGTTAATCGCTATCTCCCAACTCTATCATGCCAAATCAATGATCAATTTAATAACACGCAACAGTAAAAAATCTATCGTAGTAAGACAATCGTTTCAAGACATACTATTTCGCCCAAATTCTGCTATTTTCAGTATTTCGCTTAAAATTTTTCTTTAGTGATTTAAATTGATGAAAGCAATCAGCGGAATTTTTTTCGAGGAATATTTGTGCTTTTTTGAAAAATAAAATTAATAAAACAAAATTTTCTGAGGAAATTTTTAAAACGCTTTTTGATGAATTTCTTCTGTGAATTTTTTCTTTTCATTTTTTGTTCTTTCATTTTCATTTCCTTTTTAATTTTTAATTAAATTAGAAAAAAAGAGAAGGAAATGAACACAAAGGCGGGAAAACTAAGAAATTGATTATTTGGCAGCATGCCAATTTCTTTAGTCGTTCAGCTGTGTGGGTTATATAATAACGTTGCGGAGAGGGGGAGGGCGAAGGCTTTTCGGTGCCTTATTTTGGAGGAAAAGTTGGTTGGCCTGAAATTAATTCTTTTGCCGTTTTGCAGTTTTTTCCCGTATTCTCTCTTTAAATCAAAAATTTCACTCAATTTTAGCTCTTTGATTATTAATTTTGATATTTTATTTTATTTTTTTTAATTTTATTTTATTATTTTTGAAGATTATTTTGCACTATTCATAAGTCTTTATTTTTCGCAATCAATTTTTCAAAATTTTTTCTCGACTTTCATCCGTTCTATTTGTTTGCTTACCTCTTTATATTAATTTTTTTATTGCAATTCGATATAAACTTTTCTCTTTATTTTCGCCTCTCTGCTCCTGGCACGCTACGCCTAGCGGCCACTGAGGAAATCCCTTTTCTTAGATGGGAAGTGGTGGAGCGGTGCAAAGAATGCGATTCTGAGTGCGAGGTGAGAAACTTGATGTGCAAGTTTTGCAGGTGATACGTTGCTCGGTGCTGTTTCGTGTCCGATTGCCAAAAGTTCCTTTTCCTTCTGCTTCAAATGTCTTGGCTGGCTGGTTAGTGTGGAATATAGAATATATCTGCAGAAACAAATGGCGGGTACTCTTCAGCCAACATTTTTTTAAAATGATGTATAATTAATGATAAATGATAGATTCACCTCTCTCAAAGTGAAGCAGTCGATTACATGAGGATTTTATCTCCAGTCCAGTCTTTTCTGCTAATTTTTTTAGATTGTCATTAGCTAACAAAATCCCAAACAAAATAACATACAAATCATTACAGTTATGATTAGACTTATGCATAATTATGCGATAACAAGAGTCTTCAAAAAGTCATCCTTAATAGATATTACCATATTTTCATAATTAAAGCTCTTAAGCAGACCTCTTTTTTGCCAGAGAATTACTTGTGGAACGCGATGCAGGTCTGCAGCAGTCATCCTTATTTTTTTAATGGCTATTATGCCGCTGCATTTCAAGCTGTACTTAGGGGGTTCCTACTGCTCGACACTCAACATTTTGCTTCCTTAGTTCTTCAATAATTTTTTTTTTCTTACCTTATTTATGCTTTGTACATAAAAGAAACTTTCTTTCCTCCTATTCACTGAAATTTTTCTAAAATTCAGTTTTTGCTGATTAATTTTAGAGCGTTCCGCTTATCCAATGTCTAAATGCAAAGCAGTTATGGCCCACTTATAATCTTTATTTCACATAAAGGCACCAGAAAGTGACCGAAATGAATGATGACAAAAAGAAAATTAAGAAACGAAAGAACACATAAATGCGATTTTGCTACATTTATTGATGTGTATGTATGTCGAATAATCATGTCGTTCCTTTTATCAAAGTTTTTTGAAAAGGACATTATTCTTTAATTACTGAAATTGCTTCGTATAAAAAATAGTCATTTAGCTTCAGATAACTTTATGTTTTTGAACGATACGTCAGCAGTTATTTTGGAGAAATGCAAAGTGAAACATTATGAATTAAAAAATATTCTGGAAGTTAATGGAATATCAGAGGTGGAGAGTGAGAAAAGTTAGGCATTTTTACAGTAATTCAGCTATTTTGATAGTACCTTTTTTTAAAATTATTTTTTATTAATATCCTTAAAATTCATGGTCATAGATTGTCCTAATTAATTTATGAACAATTGGAATTAATATTATTCTTGTTTTCAATTATTTAATATTGAACTCAAGCGATATTATATTTTTTGATATATTTTTGATATATATATTGATATATTTCTTGAAGTTTTTGCTATTTAACTGTAGTATCCGTATAATTTTTGATCAGATTTGATATTCGGGAAAAGTAATTTTTTATGACTATCATTTAGTGCTGGCAGATTTACGTGAAAATATCAGACAGCTGGAAGAATCTTTGATTATTTTAAATAAATTCCAGATCAAGGCGGAAGATTTAGCAAATAATTTTATCGACCCAGTGAAGGTTTCTTTCTCTTATTTTTTTTGGTTTTGTGAATCTTGGCTTTGACTTATTTCTTTGCTTTTTTGACACTTCTCTTGCGTTTTGTTAAGATCAGGAAATCATTAGGAATAAATCAGTATCACATTTTTTTTCTTCCATTCTCTAGATTTCTCTTGAAAAGGTTTCTTATTTTTATATTTTTTTTAAACAAATTTTCATCTAGCTCACTTAGGCGAAGCAGACCGACGTCTTATTGTCAGCGTTGCCTGAACTACCTCATTCTGCCATTTTATCGCCAACAGTAGCCGAGATACCTAAAAAAAATATTTATGCAGCGATTGCTCAAAATACTGCAATTTCATGCCATTCAACAGTGAATGAGAAGGTTCCAAAAAAAAATTGCGGAGTAATTGCGCAAAGTGCATTGAAACATCGTAATGTTGTGTCAAAACGCGCTAACGATCAAGAGAAAAAGATAAAGAGGAAAGCTCAATTTCAAGTAATCCTTTTCTCATTTGCATTTAATTTCTGATCTTTATTCGCTAATTAATTCTTTCGTGAAAATATTTCGAAAATATCGCACAAAATTTTTTTTTGAATTGCTTGTTCAAAAAATTAATGTTAGTTTGGTATTTATTGTCGTTAACTTAAAGAATTTGGAACTGATAAGTAACGACGAATTTTATTCAATACCTGAAACAACTCGTGGAAGAATCAGTTTGCAGCAAGTAAATGAGGTAATCTCGAAAGTTTGTGAGGCGAAAAATTTTTGTCGTACTCAATTATTATTTTTCATAATCATTAAATAGAAAAAATTTGTCCTTATTTCAGAAAGAGGGTGAACAATGAATAAATTAATATTAAAGTTTATGAGCATTTTTATATATTTAGGTTTTAAATAAATTAAATGCACTGATAAATGAGAAGTATTCAGTCAGCGAGCGTCGTTTACCAATTGCGAATTCTTCGGAAGCAAACCGTACATGGACAGAACAGGTTTATTAATTATTTAATTAATAATAAGTAATAAGTTTTAAGTTTAATAAGTTTTAATAAGTTTAATAAGTTTTTCTTAATATTGTTTCTTTTATTTTTTGCTTTATTCATTTTTCCAGACTGATCGAGAACTTGATGGAAGATTTTTTGTTGCTGAGTTAGAATTGCGAACAGTACTTCTTTCAAAGGAGAAATTAATCCTTAAAACAATTTTACCTTGTTTAAGAAGCTTGAAAAGAATTTCAACCATTCGCATTAAACGTGATCTCTTTCTTGTTGTTTGTAATCAATCTCTATAATCTATAACCTAACATTTATTTCTTTTATTAATTTACTTATTTTCATAATCACATTTCATCTTGAAGATCTTCTAGCATTTCACTTGTTTTATATTTTCTTGTTTTATAAATTTGTTGAATTTCATGAATTTGATAAATTTCATGAATTTTTTAAAGTATATACCTTTAAGGTTGGCTTTCATTCTTTGTCATATGTATATTTTATTCTTCACTTTTCTTTTGTTGTATGTGAATAAGTGAATAAGTAAATGTTGTTTTTATTTGTTTATGTTTTATATAAAAAATATGTGAGGTTGATTGAATGGCGAGAAAGGTATTTTCAAAAGCCTGCAGATATTTTTTTCTTTAAACATTTTATCTTTAAACATTCTTTAAACATTTTATATCATTATGTGATGTTCTTTGAATTTTTTTACGATGTACGAATGCAGTGCATGCACTTTTTGGTTGAAAAACGAAGATTAAATAATGTGGGAGCGACTGAGGAAATATTAAATTCATTTTCCTCGGTGCCAGTTCCGTTCACAAATTTTATTTTTCCTCAATATTAGTTTCAGCAAACGGCATTGGGCACAGCATTAGATGGAAGACGATAATACAGAATATTATGGTGTTTATGTTCCATCTCCGGAATTATTAGGACCTTCAACTGGGGCAGTATTTTCAACTTTACGAGATGCATCAAAGTTTGCGAATACGCCTGAAGCAAAATCACGAGGTAAGTGTAGTAAATACAGAGGTAACTATAAACATAGTATTAGAATGAGGTATTTGTAGCTTTTATATATATATATATATATATATATCTGTGAAGATTTGGTTGTTATCAAGTCTAAGAGGGACATTATTTATTTCCTTTATATAAAATTCTTAAAATAATTTTTTGTTTCAGTAGAATGGTTCGTCTTGAAATTAATTAAGAAAGTTTTAGGCGCTCGATTTAAACGCTTCAGTGATGCTGAAGCTGCTAAAAGATTTGCCGAGATTGGAAGTGTAATTTTAAATGAATCAGTGGATCTTTTGGGACCTGATAAAGAATTGCCTGTTTCCGTTACTCCTAAAAATCGTTTAACATTAAATGAACCATCTGTTTCTTCTCCTTCCGTTTCTCGTGTTCAGTTGAACGTATTAAAGAGAACTATTGAAAGCAAAGTAAAATATCCAAATTTTTAAATTTATTTTGGTCTTTTAATCCTTTTAATCCCATTAACGAATTTTTTTTTAAATAAAGTTTGAATCTTGTATTATTAAGATTCTTCTTATACTCTCATTTTTATATTTTTATTTCAGAATGATCGCGATTTCGATTTTTTAGTGGGAAGTAATTTGAGGTATTTAATTAATACGAGTGGTGATACTCCAACGATTGTTGTTGAAGGCTTTCGATATAATGCGTTACATATTGCTGCTAAAGTTGGAAATTTTCACGTTGTCGAGACTATTTTTCGTATCATTACTGATTCATCTGCTCTTCAAAATCTGTATGGTATGTTTGGCTTTTTAAATTAATGAGGATTATTTAATTTGTCAAGATAACAATATTCTGGTTTCCAGGAACTAATGAAGCGGATGTCAAAATGCGTTCTGATTTTTTACTTGATGCTTATCTAAATACGCCTGATAGAGGAGCTAATGAAACTCCTTTGCATGTCGCATCTAAATTTGGCCATATAAATATCGTGAAGTTCCTTTTGGGTTTTGAAAAATGTGATAAGAATTTGAAAAATAGGTGATTTTACTCCTTTATAATTTGCAGAATTTGCTCCAGTTTTTTTCTATCTTAATTTCCCAATTCTTTTTGAGTCTTATCACGAATTAGAAATAGAAATAAAATGGAAATAAAAGTAATAAAAAAAAATGAAAAAAAGTAATGCAGTTTTATCTATTGTAAAAAAATAAGCGTCCAATGATTAATTTAGAAATGGTGAAAAAGCAATTGATATTTGTTGTGCTCGATATGATGGTGAAAAAAAAGAAACAATTACCGATGGTATCAAACAATTATTCTTCGATCTTTACGTATCACTCTATCGAGCTGTAGATGATCATTTGGATGTTATTATTTTGCCGTCAGGTTCATATATATTTGTTTTTTTTGCATTTTTATCTTTAAAAACAATGTATTTCCCAGTATAAAGTTTTTTTTACATTAGGTAAGGTTGCATTTTTCATAGAAAAAGTTGTCAAGTTATTCGAATAATTTTTTGTTCATAACTTTATTTTAAAAGTATCTCGAGAATGATGCGACTTTTCTTTTAACATATATATTCATTAATCTAGTGTTAAAAGTTTTTATTTCCACATTTCTCCTATTTTTTATTATTTCTTGTCATCACATATCTATGAGCATAATAAATACTTCTTTTTTATCCAAAGATAAGCTATAGTATTTAAATCAAATATTCCAACTATATTTCACCAGTAATAAATTTAATTCACCATAGATAGAATAATGAAATTTAATTGTAATTTCAGATGGCTATCCACAGCAATATATCTCTCCTTCTCTTTTGCACTTGAATTCAATGCATTCATCGAAATCGATACTGAAGGAATATTTTTTAGCTGCTTTAGCTGGTCTTTTCTTTTGAAATCATTTATTGCGTATATATTGTTATTCTAGTGAATTCCACTACCAATTGCCAATTGCCAATTCTTTTAGGTCCTTTTGTTGATGCGAAAACTGCTCAAGATTTTCGCGAGGCATGGGCTCGTGAAGAAAAAAAATTCAGAATATCTGATCCTTTTAAAGGTACTGAACGAATCGGCAGAGTTTTAGCCAAGCGTTTCTGTGTTCGGTGGATGGAACACTGGAAATTTACCGATGGTCTTGTGGATTTACAATCAGCTGAAGGTTTATCATAAAATTTAAATTAAGTTAATCTTTTTTAAAAAATAATTTTGATTTATATTTTTAGGTCTAAAAATGTTAAACGATTATCTACAACGTGCTCGTTACACTGAAAAAGAATCAGGTAAAATAAAATCTGTGACAAGGCCAATTCGAATGTTCAATGACGACATTTTTGAGCAAAATCGAAGTATATTATCATCTCCTAGTTCTTCACTGCTAGAGGATCAAAGCTTCACGGAAAGTGCTTCAAGCAATGCTAACATATATACATCCTTGCAAAATGATTCGCTTAGTAGCTTAAATGAAATGTTGGTGTTTTCAATTTTTATTTTATATTAAACTAGTTGACGGACGCTGTATTTTAGAAATTTTAGAATAGAAATTTAATCTATAGTAAAACTGCATCTACTGGATGGAAAGGGACATTTGTACATATATAATTACATCTGAGATGGTTTTTCAGACAAATTTTAATTTGTCATTTTTTGATCTTTAGTTTATTTCATTGTATTTTGAATATATAATATTTAAAAAAATATGCAGGAGGATGGATTGTGCAAAAACTTCGCAAGGGTATTTTTTATTTTTTATTGGTAATAGTGATAGCTTCCAGCCATAGATAAGCTTTCTTTTTTGATTTTTTGATGATGTAGAATTTATCGATGCACTGTAGGAATCATGTAGAAGCTTTTAATCATAATTCTATGGCTGGGGGTCGTTTTGTTTCGTTTTTGCTTCTTTTATAATTATTAACTGTGTGATTCTTTTATTAACATTAGTTTTCTTAAAGGTGTTTGTTTTATTAGCAATTTATTAAATAAATTCAGCCATATCTAAATAGCTATTTCCAGGTTGGCTAATTTACATATTAATGAAGGAATCACAAGTGAAATTCTTGTCAAGGAAAGGGAAAGTGATGGAAGCATACTGCTTTCACCTAATGAAAGCCGGCAAGAATTATCAAACGAACATGAATGTTTTTATACTCCTCCATCGTCGCCACCACCTGTATATATTCTGGATGATTTTCCTTCAAAAGAAGATGATGAACTACATTTGGCATTGTCATTGGTTTGTTTATACTTCGTTTTGATCTTTTGTTTTATTATTCATTAGCTTTTTAATTATTGTTTTTTTTTGCAGGTGAATTTGGCGCTTATTGATAAATTTTGGGCTGTTAAAGAATATATAAGGGCGATTCAAAAGATCCCTGCTGAAGAAAGAGATCATTGGCCGATGGCAGACTCGCCAAGGGCTAGAAAACGGCGTCATTTATAAAAATTCTTACTAACTCATTTTTTCTTTTCTCCTTTTTCATTAAAAATAGTTATTTTCCATACTTATTTCATAAGTATAAATCATTTTGTTAAATTTTTTTTCTAATTTCTAAATTTTCCGTCCGTTGTCTTCACTTGTTTTGCTAAAACGTTTTAGAACTGTAGAGGTTGTAGACGAAAATATTCGCTTTTATTATTTTGCTCACTATACTATTGTATATTGATACGGGTATTTTCTATATTATAATAATGGTATAGTTGCAATTTTCTCTTCTCTGACCAAAAAGTTTTCGCGAAATATCAAAATATTTTATACTTTTTATTCTCATTATATCTCAACTGTTATTTTTTTCCTACCTGCGCACACCATTTTTGCTTTCGTTAGAAATCTTTGTTTTTATTAGAATGAGATGCTTCCATGCATATCGATATCTGGAATTTGTTGGAATCATTCTTCCATCGTACAAAGCCCTAAATTATTGGATTGTCTATGTTTTCATAATATCGTCTAACCGTATGAATCTAGCTATTAATTGAGCGTTCTGTCTTTTGATGCATTCACAAAGCTTCGCATGTGATGAGACAGGAATTTCAATTCCTATGGGAAAAACAGAAAACATGGTCTTATCATCTGCAATTCGTTGTGATAGAATAGGCCGATACGGTACATTTGGTATTCCAGCAGAAGCAGTTAAAAATATATGGGAATTTTTCTACGAATATGTATATAGAATATAACAGGTGTGGTCGAGTTAGCTTCTTAATATCTTTCACTGCTATTATTCTAAATTACAAAATGTAAAACTAGATTTCTTTTTCATTCTATTTAACTTTTTAATTTCACGTAATAATCTTCATATTTTGCTTTTTTATACATTGTTTCTTTCATTTTATTTGTTATGGGGATTTGCCAATACTAATGATATTTAAGGCCTAAAGTCTTTTCCACATTTCCCACAAGTTTTTTTGCGCTTTCATCCATCATTTTCACCATAGAGAAAAAGATAATTGATTCATCTAATAAATTTCATGCCTGTTTAATCACAGAAAATTAAGAATTGCTCGTGATTTATGATCGTTGCCTATCATTTTTTTACTTTGATTTTCCCTATCTTTTTTTAAGCCTTGGGTTTTTGTTTTATTTTTTATTTATTTTACAGGAACAGAACATAATTTTATGGAAATTTGCGAAAAAACATTTGTAGGAACAATTATCGTTTTAATATCATTCGATAAGCAGTTCACTTCGTTTCGCTGCGTACATATATGAAATGTTTATAAAGTATATAAATTATCGAAGTTATAACTTTTGTAAATTGTCTTAGAATTTTTGCATAAGTTTTCTCGCAATGACAATTTTTTTTGGATAATTTTTTTTTTTGCGAGGAGGGTTAAGTTAAATGACGTAAATCTGAAAAAATTCGTAGTTGAAGCAAATAGTTTGGAACAAATGCGCTGCGTGAAGAAGCTTTAGTCAGTGAAAAATTCCTTCATTCCCTCTCTTTATCCTCGTTTGTAAAATGCATATGTGATTTTTGGCGTTCTGCTGGGGATTCACATGGAAATATGGACAAATTTCTAGTTCTCAAGATTATTCGTTCGCTTTATCGACTGCAATACAGCGCGATAATTCGTTCGGCATTGTTTCTTTCGCACCAACCGCTATTGCCTTTTCCAAATTCTAAAATAAGTTTAACGCTGAAGGCAAATGGAATGTCGAGAAGTAAATCCACATTTTTTTCTCTTACAATATTTTACAGTAATTTCCTTCGGTGGTTTCGCTTAATACACTCATTTAAAGAGAATTTTATTTTCCGGTTTTATACTAAAATATTCCTTTTTTTAGGATTTGTACGAAATTCTGAAATTTTTAGTCTAATGGCTTTATGAATGATAGATAGCAATGTTATACAACAGGCCTCCATTCAATCCTTTAATTTTGCTTTAAATGGCTAAAATCTGTTTTCTTAAAAAACCGTAAAAACCCCACACTGGAAATATACTGAAAACGAGATGCACTGGATGTGCCGTCGAGGAAGGAAGTCAACTCTCCTCTCTCAGCAAATGTCGAGAAAGAAAAAGAAGTAACGCTAAATGAAACGTATCAAAAATGATTTAGGTCGTTCTAAACTAACCAGATGAACTCAAATGGCGGTCATCGTCCGTGTCGAGAGAATTCAGAACTAGAATTCGTCCTCTATATCGATACTTCTTTAGTTTTGATAAGGGGAACTTTCGATTTATATCAGTGCAAAATAATCGATGAAGCCATTGATCGAATTTAATAAATTCGACCTCTTCGATCAAAAAATCACCGTTTGCATCAATCGCCTTAAAAAGATCGCATACTGATTGGTGTGAATTAAACACCATACCGAAAATTCCACTGAAATCGATTTAAAACAAATTTTAAAAATGAAAAAGGAAAACAACAATAATTTAATCTGTTGATTAGCACTCTTTTATCATATTAATAAATAAATGGCTGAATGTGTCAATGGCAGAAAAGATCTTATCGGTCACTATCAATGTCAATATCAATTGATAAAGCGATATGTAAATTGATTAGGGCATTAAATGGTCAACTGTATGGTTATATCGATTCGCGTTCGTATTGGTTCTGACGGACTAAATATGTCATTAAAAAATCAAATAAGCTGAATCTGTGCTGTGTGTTTCCAAGTGGCTCCGTGGCGAAAACTTCTAACTCTACTACTCTCTTCTAATAGCTCACGCCATTGCAGGAAATGGGACGTTCCTAAGATTACTGACCTTCCCTGAAAATAACTTCTTTCCTCATTGTTTAAGCCCGTATATCGCTAGGCTGCCTATGTCTTCGATATCTTCCCTCACAAATCGATGTTTTTGGTTGGTCTTTCTATCGTAGAGTTTAAAAGATAGCAAAATATGCGTCAATTTATTCGATGGACAACGAAAAATGTGACCAAACAAGGCTTTATGACGGTGTTCGCAGATGGTATTTGAGCGAAGCTGGGCTCAATCATGTAAGACTCTTGGTGGTACAGTTTACCTTAGGCAAGAACGATTAAAGGCAGATAGCTTCCTAATTTGTTCAACTTTATGACCATGTTGTACAATAGATTGTGCGAATAATAGCTAGGAACCAAATTCGTTTTTAGACTGAATTCGCGTCGATCATAGGGAGGTTCGCCAGATGATAAACCTTCTCTAATTGCAGGCATCTAGGATGAGCTGGAATTTTATCATTCTCCTAGCAATTAGTATGAGAATGAGGTTTTTAGAGGTTTTTTGTGATACTTCTTGGCCACTGAGGAATTTATGTAAATTTCTTATCAATGTCTGGTGTATATAACGAAAAGTGTTTCGCCTTATTTATATTAATTTGAAGGCCAGTTTTCGCTGCTGCTGTTGTTGTGAGATCTAACATTTATTACATTTCGCCATAACTAAAGTAAGAATATCATTTCAAAATCAGTAAATCAGTATGCTCTGGACTCGATGGAACGATCAGTGAAATGGTATGGTACAATAATGGCGTGCCGGTCAAGAGTATTAAGGACCGCCTCATAAGATGGAAAGAATTCTTTGAGGCCAATATTATCTCTAATATTACTGATACGTTCGCTAAACCATACGCTTGCATAAAACTTCAGGAGAAGATGGATTGAATTCTTCAAATGTTCAAATGTTATCCATCGTCATTCATATGCACCTTTAACAAATTAACCTTTAACAAATAACTCTTTAGTATGGAAAAAAAAATTACTAGATGAATGAAGCAAAGCAACTCTACTCCCAATTCTCAGGAAAGGTGATGGGACATATACCGCGACAATTATCGAATTATTGTATTGGCCTACTAGACGTCTCAGCGAAAATTTCTGCTACCAGATTTATGGAAGTAACAGATAGCAGGATGCGCCCTAATCAAGCTGAATTCAGACCTAGGCGCAGTTGTACTGACCAGATATTCACGTTAAGAAGGATGTTAGAACATCGCTTCAGATTTTTGGAACTTACTGACACGTGTTTCATCGACTTTGTTGCCTTTGATTCAATAGATAGAGCGGCACTTTGGAAGGTGATGGAACGCGACGGTGTTCCAGAGAAGATCATTCAACTCATAAAGGCATTTTATGAGCATAGGTCGGCGCAGATCAGATTTGTATATGGGAAAGTGGCACATTCCTTCGAAATAAGAACTGGTTGTGTCCTTTCCCCTGCAATATTCAACTATGCCATAGACTGGATAATGGATACCGCTTGTCGGCACTCAAGAGATGTTGAAATCAGTCCAAAGTACCATATCACAGATCTTGAATAAGCTGATAATGTAGTGCTTTTTGCTAACAGCGACAAAATAGCGGGAAGGTGAAAAGTAGGAAATGTTTCATTAAGAAATTATGACGAAATGCGAATAATGCTAAATAATGTGTCAGCAATTGCAGCGAGAATCACAGGGTCAATGTAAATCTTCTGATTGACAAAATCTTTATGGAACCCTCGTAAAATCACCATAAAAACAAAAGTCAATCTATATAGCTGTAATTCGCTCGATCTTACTATATATCTCTCAGACATGGCCAATGAGAGTGGATGATATTAAGTTAATGCCTTTGACCAATCTTGACTAAGGTACATTTTACAGATCCGTCGAGCGGATAAAATATCAGATAGTCGCATCCAATTTCGTTCAAATACCACTTGCATTAATAATATTATCACAGAGCATCGCTAGTTAGGGCATGTTCTCTGTTGTCCACCACAGGAGCTGACGCATATTTCGTTACTTGCTAAATCCTGTGATGGTTGGCGTAAAAAGCGAGGCGGATCAGTCAAGACCTGGACTGATACAGTCAGGAAAGATTTTGAACGAATAGGTGGACCAGCAATATATGGACTTAGAAAATGGAAAAAGGAATGGATTACTGCTAGCGATGGCATCAGACCGAACAGATTGGAGACGTCTTACCATTATAGCCAGAGGAGCCAGCGTAACCAGTAATGGTAAGAATAACG